CCCGCGGAGGCGCCTCCCGCTCCTCCCTGCGGGCGCCGCAGCCCGAGAGGCCCCGGTGCGTCCCGGGCGCTGCGGAGGTGACGGCAGTTACTGGGGTGTCACCGTGTTTCGGGCCGGCCTGTGCCCGCCGCCAGCCGGGCTGTCCCCCGTGGGGATGGAGCGGGGCGACACCGGCGAGTGACAGCCCGCGGCCCGGGTGGCAAGCGCTGCGGTGCCCGGCTTCCCTCGCCGCCCAGCCTGCCGGTGCAACGTTTCTGTCCCATGAGGGACCGAAGGAGAGGAATGCATCACCCGTATAACTGCTCCAGCATAACCTCACCAACAGCTTACATCCATTTTGCCAAACCGCTAGAAAACGAGTCACACCCACCTCATCTCTGGACCTCGCAGCACCAAATCACTGCCTTTCACCCCTGTGCCACCACAGGGCCCCTCAACCAGTAAAAACGGCTTTTTCACCAAGTACCCTGCTGCAAAAACCTTCCTGCAGTCTGGTGAACAGAAGTGAAAGTGTCCTCACCATTCTCATAAGAACACCACCATTGCATTTTATTTCTCGAGCTTTTCTCCATGTATCTATAAGCACCCACATTTACTCAGTCCTTGCCAGCTGCCAGGTACAAAAGACTGACTTTTTCTTATCAAAGAAATCAAATATACTAAGTAATAGTTTTCCAGTATCAAGTTTGACGGGGACAGACGTTTACAAGTGCACACAGATCTGTTTAGCCAGCTGCCTGTACAAACAAGTGTAACAAGTTGCAGGTAATTGTTTACACGCAGTGTTTATTGCAAATTACTGTCACTTCCTCAGGATGTTTGCATGTTTTATAACAAAGCTCCAGTGGATTGTTTTCTAGCAAGGGTATACACTGGTGATGTGCTTTCCTAAGTGCTTGGCTTGTCCCATCAACTAAGGCAATTCTGTACTTTCATATTTAAAAGATTACTTACTTTACAAATTTACACTTTACTTCGATAGGCAGCAGTGATGGATTCCATAGGGGGTAAACGAGGGATTACTTATAAATGCTCAAGGAGCCAGAAGGCTCTTTACTATTTTCAGCACTGAGCATCTTTTTTTTTTTTTTAAACAGTGCTTTTTATTATTAAATAAAATAGAAATGAAAAGTCTGCTTCTTTGCAGCCTTTTTAACTCAAGGACTCTAAAATCAGTGAGACAGAAAATAACTGTACCCATTTACCAGATAGGGGCAGGCCAGGACAGAGATGAGGGAAAGGCATGTCAATATAGAAGATTATTGTTGTTGACGTCCAACAGTGAGGGGCATAAATACTGAAATGCAGAGATATGAGGAGAGTGGTTGGGTTGTGCTTAGATTTTACCTGTTCTTTGCTTTGTTATTCTCCTGGCTTATATTATCCCCTTTTTTTCTCCCTCCCCCTTCCCACCCCATCTGCTTAAACTCTGATTTTGCGTTGCCCAAGATCACTGTACTGTACTGAACACCCATGTAGGGACTAAAGAAAAAAAGGAAAACAAGTTATCTTCAGGCTTATGTTCCTCCGTAGGAAAAATTTTCTCAAAGCAAGGTTCCATGCAAATCTAGCTTTATTTTTAATGTTAAGCTAAAAGCTCTAATTAAAAATGTTTAAAATGCATATCAGCACTCTAGAATAAGGATGATCCTTTCCAGGGGCAGAAGGAGGAGGAGATGCATTTCTGGGAGACTAAGAATGCACTGGTGTTTCAAGCCTCCCATGAATCTTGTGGAATAGTTCAACATCTTGAGGGCTATAGTTTTTTTACTATTATAGAAAACATTTAAGAGCAAACTACAGGGAATAACAACAACAACAATAAAAAAGTTATACTGATGTACCTTAAAACACGCATGCACCAACAGCGCAGCTCCCCCTGCCCCCTGGGACCACAGAATCTAAGCAATAGTGTGCTCGTATGGCAACAAGATTCATCTGAATCTACTTGCTTCGCAGAAGTAGTTCTTCAGAATAACTTAATCAGATCTAAATTAAAGTGTTATCTATCTTCATAATGCCTTTCATTCCATAAAACCTTGAGACATAGGCAGAATTATAGTAAACTCCATCTCTGGGGGAAGAGACCAACCATCTACCTACCAATTTACAGCAACTTAACAAAAGCAGGAAGGGAGGATATATTATAGGCAAATACAGGACTCATTGCAGGAGGAGTGTAATTCTCAGTGCTTTTAGTTTCTCTCTGTTATCATTTCCCATTTGTGACAGAGGTAATAAAACTTCCTTCCTCCATCCTTTATTTAATTAAAGTGTAAGGTCTTTGGGGCAGCGAGCTTACTCTGTGTGTGTATACAGCACCTAGCATGAAGGTCATGAATTAATCTGAGGCCTTTAAATACTACTCTAAATACAAAGAATTAGCAATAATAAGAATAGGATATAATTTTCATTTAGAATAGATGAGACCTCTGTTTTCAACGTATCACCACAAAGAATAAATTACATGCATCTCAGGGAATAACTAAATTAAGGGTGAAGGAAAAGTATCATTCCAGAGACTTGCAACTCCACTTTATCCCAGTTGCTTACACTGCTGCCTACTGTTACACCATTTACTGTAAAATTCTTATTTGCCATAATCTTACAAAATAGTGTCCCAAATCCCACACGCCAGATCATCAATAAGAGCAGGAGTATAGTTTATTCTGAGACAGTGCACGTGATTACTGTGATAACATACCCAAATTAACCTTTTGCATGTGCAATAAACTGCAATTAGCAATCTGCAGACAAATGACAAGTTCCTTCCTTTCCTGTAATATGTAGCAATATACAAGCCAGATTTCCTATTGAATCCCATATTAACCTACATTCAGTGGCAGTGAAATCTCAGAGCACCGTGTCAGAATTTATCATCTTTCAATGATGCTAGCTCCACCTCTTGACAGTTCTAGACAAGATGTTTATAAACAACTTGTCCAGAATCTGAACAACTGCAGCTGAAAATGTTTATTATTTTTCCACCAGTTGTTCCAACCACTTAGGATGCTTTATACTAAAGGGTGGGCACAGCTCTCAAAACAGTATGGTGGTGTTAATGAACAACATGAAATAAAATGGAGATGGACTAGTGAGTGGCTTTGTGATACCTTTTTGCGATGGAAGGAGGCTCAGGGGTAGGGAAGCTGCAGAAGTGCCTCTTTGCCTTGTGAGAAGCAGT